TGGTGTTGAGGAGCCAGCCACTTTCCACCATGAACTGGATTTAGAAATCAGTCTTCTGTTGTGGTCATAACATATGAACTGTAACTGCTCTTTAAAATCTTTAAGAATTTTTTAAATTATCTGCAGTTACTTTAGTCAGCATTTTTGCTGAGATTTTTCCTATAAAATTTTATATAAAACATGCATCATATACAACTTAATATTTTTATACATTCTTATATAACAGATACCTTTTTATTTACTGTGGGTGTAAATAAGAGAAATAAAGTTATTGTAAAATTATTGATATTGAGTTCAGCCTACGTATTTTAGGAACAATCTTCTGAAAGTTCACTAGACTGGTCAGAGATGAAAGGAACTTTAAAAAATGACCAAAAAAAAAAAAAAAAGGAAGAAGAAAGAAGGAAAACAGTGCTTTTTCTTTTCTTTCCCACAGTCTTGTATTTCTGAACTAAGTGCCTGAAGGGCTGAATCCAAAACTCTTTGAAGCTGTGGAGTGTTGTGATGTGGAGCTTTTGTCTGGGTCCTCTGGATGCACCCTGTGCTCCAGGTTTAGATGCCCACCATAACCACCTACTGCAGAGTGGCTGAATTTGGTGTTTGCAAGAAGCTGAATTGGATCCTGATGGTCCTGTGTCTTTTATGTTAAATTTCTTACAAAAGGACAAAATAAGGTGTCTTTCCCTTGATTTAATGAATGTGAGTAAAAAGAGTACTTTGGAATAGCCATAGTAACACTCAAGGAAGAAGCAAAATCTAATAATCCTCAGTGGTATTACAGAAAAAAAAAATACAAAAAGCAGATGAGACAGACTTGAAGGAAAGCCTGAAATCCACAGTTAAAAAATAAAAGCATAATCCTTGATGCAGACAGAAACAATTATTTGCCTGCAGCTTTCCAACGGAAAGAACCACAAACTTGTGAACAAGGACAGAGCATGATCTATTTAGTTATTAGTGACCACACCCCACCAAGTAATGGGAGAGTTTTATTTATATTGAGCCAGATCCTAAGGTCCTAATTCATTTTTAAGTCTGGCAAACTGTCATGAAGTTGATCAAAGGTAGCAACTGAAGGACTTGGCCCATTGTAGCTTACAAACAGGCATCCACCACATAATTCCCTGAGTAAATTTGGCCAAATGGGTTTGGGCAGCTGCAAATTAGAATGGAGTTGTGATGGTTTGTTCTCCTTAATGAAAATCTCATTAAAAATCCCAGAGATAAAAATGATTTGCAGCAAACAACATAGTCAAGGCCCCCAGTGTCCACCTGACTCATTACATTTGAGAAGACTTTCTTCCCCATCTAACCAAGCTTTCGGCAAACACTTCTGCACAGAGCTGAGTTTTGCCCTTGCTCCCAGGAGGGCAGCTAAGCTGGACATTGCCCTGAAGGGGTGCAACGTGTTTGTCTTGAGTACCCCTACGAGAAATACAGTGGACCTCATCTAGCAGTGTTTGCTCCCATCTTCCAGCATTTTCACAGCTGGTGTACAATATCTTGCACACTACATATATTACTGCTGGTTGACTAGAGGAGGAAGACAACTCCAAGTGTATTTGTGCACTCAGTCACGCTCCTTCAGGACCTTCTGGAGAGTTCATGGAGAGAGGTGTGCTCCTAAAGAAGACTGGCAGGACCCAAAGTCCTTTGGCTACAGATAACACTGATGCTGAGCAGGGTATGATTGGCCTACTTACTACTTTTTCCTTGCTGTTTCTTCTGGAAAAATATTTGCAAGCAGTTTGCCAGGCCTCAGGTTTCCTCCCAGTGAGGGAGAACATGTAGGTGGACTCAACATTTCTAAAATGCACTGCTGAAACACAAACATTGTCCCGTGCAATGGTATGCCTAACCTCTGAAAATGGGCATGAAGCAGCTGCCTTCACCTGCCCTCTCTTCCCTCACTGTGAGCCCTTGGGGCTGCTAAAAGATCCAAGACCATGGTGCTTACTTGGTTTCCCTCCACAGCTGTCGGGGGACTCATCAAACACCCCCTGAAGTTTCTGACAGGCTCATGTTGGCCTCAGTGGGAGCTGGATTGGGCCCACAGGCACAGCTCCAAGTCTATTCCCAGAGAGGCAGTGTTTATGGCCTCTGGTAATTGGGAACTTGGAATCCCCTGCTCATTTCCAAACCTAAGGGCTCCAGCTAGGGCGTACAAAGTGCTTGAGCCATGCCAAGAAGCCAACTGGAATAATTTTCTTCGCGAGAGTTAATTATGTTAAATTGGGTGCCCTGCTCCAAGGGATTCAACCGCAGAGGCGAGTGAGAGAAAAGGAGTCCAGCCAGTTTTACATGAGCGATAGTGAAAACCGTGATTATGTTCATCTGTGAGAAATGTGGGGCTGGCGAGCAACGCTTGCATGATGTAATCTTTGTGAAAAGGTTGCAAGGACCTGCTGCAACTCTCCCAGAAAGGCTTGGTCTTGTTGCTCCTGGATTTGGAGTGTGTGGCTGCCCGGGCACACAGTTCATTAGGGAGATATGTGTAAGGCAAACAAATCCCACTCCAAGAGCAGTGTTTATCTCATGGCACAGAATGCCGTATGCCCACTGATCAAAGCCTGTGGGAACAGATGCTGTTAGCGGAGCAGCAGCTGCACTCAGATCCTGTCCACACCCTTCCTGTTTGCAGTGGCCTACCCGGGGGCTATTATGTTCCCAACAGGGTGATGACTGCCCCCCTCCCACCCCTCCTTCCCCCTGCGGCTGCCGCTCTCCGGGGAGGGTGCACCGGCGCTCGCCTCGCCATCTGCCTTTGGGTTCTCATTGTTTCATTCGGAGGTGCAGATAGTGGGCTAGACACTCCTTGGCTGGTGCTCTGATAAGGGTCTGGAAATTGTTCTCATGTGTTAGACAGAAGCCTGCTTGAAAGAAGGAACTGTACCCAAAATAACAAAACTGACCTCAGAGGTCAGTATTTTCTTTTAAGGAAGGAGCTCGCACCCATCCAGATTGGAAAAGAAAAAGATTAGTGAGGCCAGACTCTGTTTTCTATTGCAGTGGAGTAAGGAGCCAGTAAATTTAGTGATGTTACTGCACATTCCTGTGCTGCAGGTGTTCTGGAGACTGCATTCCAGCTCTGCAGAGAAGAAAACCTCTATTTCTTTACTGTCCTGCAATTCCACTGCAAGTCTGGGTCATTTATGTCAAGTTTGGCTTAACCAAATTATCCCTAACTTTAAAGAACCACAGTGTAGTCTTTCCCATAGCAGTGTAGAAAGATGTGCACTCATTGTAAAGGGAGATTACTTGGAAAACAGATGTTGAATAAAAAGACCTGGGTGAAAAGGAAGCATGTTCCTTTTCAGCCTATCTCATAACCTTTGCTCAACCTATTAGTTTGGGTTGATTCAACCTGTAAAGCACAGAGGACATGATTCCAAATTGCACTTGTGAAAATCCAGAATTGCCATAGGCACCAATGGTGCTAATCAGTAGAATTAAAGTTTTAAAATGCTTTTTGATTTATATCTGTAACAAAGACAGAAGTCTTTGGTCTGGCATTGTCAAGTGGTAATATCGGCATTCCTACAGGTGAAACATTTCCCACCCTGCTTTCTGTGTGAAGCCTAATTAGTTTGGAAGAGTCATCATCTTCAAAAAAACATTTTAAATTCAATGCTGGAAGGTAAAGTTTGTGGTTTACTTTTCCATTGTGCTTGCAACAGCAGAACCAACACAACTGGATATAATCTAAGGTCACATCCCTCATTCAGGACAAAAATGAAGTTATATCAGAATTCAAGAAAAACGTGATGATCAGGAGGTTTTTTCAGATTTCCCACTAGATTAACTTCTTGATGAGTCTTTGCTTGCTGTCTTATTTTCTCATACATGTAGAAAAAAAAAAAAAAAAAAAAGCAGATTGATGGCAAAAACAGTCAATTGCATTATATCATATCAAAGAGAATCATAGGATTTTTCAGGTGAGCCAGACAGTGTGAGAAAACAGACAAAATAATGCTAAAGATACAGTAAAATATAAATGATACAGTAAAATGATAAATATAAACCATGTCTATATTTTAGGATCTTATTAAGAGAAGAGATGATCTGAACTACTCTTTTAAAAACTGATTTGTTAATTAACTCATTCAGAGTTACAGCAGAAAGTGGCAGATTCTCATGCACAACAGGGACTATGTTCACCCATGGGGCACCTATTCTATAATACGCTTGTCCGTCTTCCCCCAAAAGATCTAGTCATTGATCACTCTTAGAGACAGGATACAGGATCATATAGAGGTTTTCCATTTCTGATGTCCCCATCATCTTTGCATTACCCTTTTCACAATTCATCTTCTGTCCTCACATCCCACCATCAAGCTCCTTGGATGACTGCTTTTAATGGGAGTGCTGAAAACTCTGGCATCCATGGCAGTACCAAGGATAATAAGAAGTGCTGGGATCTGGGAATGTACACTCAATAATGTACATTTTGTTTGTTTGTTTTTGTGTTGTTTTTGTTTTGTTTTGATTTGATTTGATTTGATTTGATTTGTTTAATCTTAAGGCCCCTGCTGTGGTTTAACCAGGCAAATTAGTAATTATCCCAAGGAGTCCCTGGCTCGGACATGGCCTGTTCCCAGCACACAGCATACCCATGGCCACTGTAGTTTGGAGGTTAGGAAAGTTCAATAATCACAGACATGGCCAGACTGCATCTCCAGCTTCAGGGACAGAGAATGGACTTGGGCACTGTTTAGTTTACTGATATAGATGTAGCCAATGACTTTAAAACAAAACAAAACAAAAAAAAAAAAAAAAGAAAAAACAAACCTCCATGTTTTCTTGATTAACCTTTCCTTGAAATACTGCAGAGGGAAGCTCCCTGCCTAAAAATCTTAGATTAGGCTCTTGCTTTCCTGGGTGTTTTCCCTCTATTCGTTTGTTATTTTCTCTGAGAGTTTATTTGTTCTCCCAGTTATGCTAGCCTATCTGCCTGTTTGTGCAAGTAAAACTGTCCTTTCCCATTTCCTCTGTCTCTGTTATTTCCTCTCCCATCATCTTCTTATGCTGTGACATTTGCGGAAGCTGCTTTCCTTTCTCATCTCAGCTCTGCAGGCTGAAGGCAGGCTCTGCCCGGTGTTCAATGTTGAATGCTCTCCTGTGCAAGGACTGGCCCATGCTGTAGACATGTGCTGGAGGTAAGCTATCACAAACAGGGTGATAAATTGGCAAAGCACTGAAAAGCAATTCTTTGTAGATATGGAGGGCTGGCAGGCCCATCTGGGTTATGCTGACTTTCTCCACAGCACTGGCCACAGGATTTTAGCTGTATCTTGGAGATCAGTTCCAACTTAAAAAGCTGAGTTGTTTCTGACAGTTAGAAAATATGTTAGACTTAAAAGGCAGTCAGCATTCAGCCAGGAGGGAACAAGGCTGGGTACTGACTTCTGCTGTTACGATTTGGGCTTTACTTTTTTCACCCAAAGCCTCTGTAAGGCAAGAAGCCTCTGCCCTGGCCTGCATGGTTTGCTTACACAGCAAAGTATCCCCTATGCACCAGAATCAGGATGGTGCAAAGTATTCCCCTAGGGCACCAAGAGCATGCTGTCAGGGTGGGATGCCCAAATACAAGTGCTTTGAATCCCTTCCCATGGGGGAACAAGAGTACAATCTCCAGGTCTCTTTGTCTTACCATTGACTGGTAAGACTAAGAGGATCATCTAGGTAAGAGGATGCAAGGTGACATCAGGTGCAATGTACCCCTCTCATTTTGCTCAGAGGAGGAGTGCCACAGGACAGACTGCTTCTCTCTGGAGGAAGACCAAGACCTCCCAGAATTAGTCTTGATGCTGACAACTGGAATTGGAATAGGATTTCAGACACACGCACTTCCATGTTTTGTGTTTCCCATTAGCTGACCATAGATGGTTTTCTGGTCAGAGCACTCAGCATGCATTGCTGAAGGGGTGGAGGAGTATAACTGTGGCCTTCGGATCACATGCTGCAGGGCAGGAACCTGAATTCCTTGTAGGTGTGTGCATCTTTTTCTTGGATCTAGCACCAAACAACTCTACTAACTGTGGAATTCAATTCAGGGAGCTAAAAGCCACTGAAGTAAAGAAGCAACACAAATATGAATGAAATTGCTGTCCTGAGACTTCCATCCCACTGCCTAGGCCAGGTCAAGAAACCAACAGGAAAGACTATGGATATTTACAATACAACACAATCAAATAATAACACCAAGATATTCTGGAAGACAAGAAGACCATTGTGTGCATGTCTGCATGTGTATGCACATATGGCAAGTAGATGCACATACCCACACAACCCATTGCAGAAGGCATGAGGTGCTAGAATGCTGCAAAGTCTGGTGGCAGGGAGAAGTGACATTTTGGTGTGCTTTCTAGTTAATAAATCAAAAATGTTTCTCAAACACCCACTGTAAGATAAGAGACATTATATATACACAGCTGTATGTTTCATCCACTGAAAAGCTGTTTCTAGCAGAAAGGCAGAGGACAGCATGGTGTACAAGAGCTCCATACATGTATATAATTTTTTTACATTTTGAATGTTTTGTTGTTGTTGTTTGATTGATTTTTGTTTTGTTTTGTTTTATGTGGCAGATTTTTTTATTTTTTTTTTTAACAGTGAATTAATTTTACTGAATAACATACAAAACTGGAGAAGTTAAGAAGTTTCTTTTTGTTTTGATAACTATTCTGGGACCAATCTCTCTAAAATATTAAGATTTCCTATGAAGTACTGCCAGTTATTGCATAGATTTCACTTAGGTTTCGCATCCAACGAATGAAGAGTTTGATACAGAAAGTGTCTGTGCCAGGAATTACAGTACTGTTGTCACAGGAGCTGGTGTTGAGAATCTCCAAGACTGAGCTGACATTTGAAGAAATCTCTGTGTTGATACAAGATGAAGTAGTGAGGATCACAAGCTACAATGCTCTCCCTGGAAGGAGAAAGTGGGACACTCCCAGAACTTGCCTTCTGCTTATCTGGAGCCTTGACCCCAGCCTGCACCATTTGATCTGCATGCCTGCAACCCCTGGAAATTTATCTGTTCCAGCAGGAATTTGCCTGTGCCTCATGCACCCATCTTATAGTCCACTTACAAACTGGATTATGGGACTAACACTTCAACACTCACAAGTGGAAAACCTGAGAGCAGGTCATGGTCTCCATCACAGGCGAGGTGTAACAGAGTCAAGTGGGAGGTCAAGCAGAACTAGCTAGATGAGGCACAGCATATTTCATGACTCTTCCCAGTCGTAGACAAGCTGAGTGTTGTTAGTGTAAAAGGAAGCATGTTTAGTAGTTTAATAATCAATAATTTGTCGTTTTACCTTCCTTCTATACTTCCCAAATTTACTCTTTACAGTACAATTTTAGACAAACAATTAAATACAATTTGATATTAATTTATCTTCTTTTAGTGCCGTGATGGCTGGATAGTATAGGTATTTTTCTGGCACTGACGGCCAGTTTTTTCTACCTAAGTTTAAAGAAGCAATCACAGTGTTTCTTTGGCAGAGATGACATAGGCATACACTGTATGTATATGTTATACCACAAATTACAGAAATGTCCTTTTGTATAAGATCAAAATGGGGTTTGAATCATTTTGGGGTTTGAATCTTGTTAGTATTCTCTCAAGAAAAGTTGCTGTGTTTACAAGAACCTGTGGCTCCCTGGAGTATATTTCCTCTGGTATACAGATTCAGATCTAGCATTATCATTTATAGGCTTCATTATCTAGATACTTCATACCATCTGAACTACCAGCTTGCTCATTATTTAATATACTTACCCTTCCCTTTTCACGTTCTCCAGTGAAACGTTGAATAGGTTCACTTTAAAAAGACGTTCCTTAGTCCTGTAATTGCTTATCTGAATTGATTTGTTCAGATCATACATTAGAATCAAAAACAGAACAAAGGAGAAGAAATTAGGATATGGATCTGACTCCTGAACTGTGCAACAAGGAGCTCAAAATCTGATAACTTCCTTCAAAAGATAATATGGAGGATCTCTCCTAGCCAAGTGCACCATAACTCGTGCATTAAATTTAATCTCATTTAATCTCATCACAGTTGGAGCACCTGTAGAAATTCTCTAGTACAAAACACCTTGTTATTGATTAAACTGGAGCAAAATGAAGTGTTATTCTACCAAAGAAAACAGACACCTCATATATTGCTGGGGCTAGGTTCACAAGAAGAATTTCAGCATTGAAACACATGCAACTGTAGTCATGCCATGCTGTGCTGGGGCCTCCAACATCCAGGCTGGACACTGAGGCACTGACGACAGCATGGGAGAATCAGATAAATAACAAAGACAGGAAGGATGGGCAACATCCAGCCAGAATGTGGGACTGCCCCTGTTAAGCAGAAGGATCTGCTTAAAACTTCATAGGAATCTCAGCTGAACCTGTGAATAGTTGTTAACTCAAAGCATTTACATCCATAAACACCACCTGAAATTAGGAGTTAATCATAAATCCTTGTGCATCTGATCTGTAAGAACTAAGGTCCTCACCACTGTGTGGATATTAATGGAGAAGCCAAGGATTTCTGAGGCCACCAGCTGCCCTTGCAATGTCCCAGGATATTTACACCCCCTCAGAGGAAAGACACAGCAGATGGCACTGCCTGAGCTGGCAGAGAGCACTGGGGAAGGAGCTGTCTCCATCCTCACAGAGGTCTGCAGACACCCTCCAGTACCCAGTCAAGGTACTTAATCTGCCAATGAGGGTGCAGGAAGACCTCTAGGTCAGATGAGGATTTACTACCCAGAGGTCAGAAAACTTTTCAAAGTCATCACCCAAGCCCACCAGCATTCAGACCCCGTGTTCAAATTCCTACAGCGTGCTGCAGCCTAAAAGACTGCTGTGGCTAGGGAGACTGGGTGGCACAAACTTCTCAAAAAGTAGTGGCAAGCTGCAGAAAAGAAAGAAAGGGACAAACTCTAAAATTATAATAGAATTCTATGAGAGGAGACTTGTCTTTCTTCTAAGAGGAAATATGAGCTAGATGACTTGTGTGTGTGTGTGTGTCCAGTACATTATATTCTGGTTCACAATTATTTCCCCTCCCTGTTCTGCCATACTGGGATACCAGTAATTTTCCACATCTACTGGATGTCAGCCGTAAGTCAGTGCTTAGAATACATTTATTTTTCAAAACTCTTTTGTTGTATCTGAATGTATTGATTCTTCCCACTGCACAACTACCAAGGATGCCATTATTCTAAGCCCAAGCTGATGATTTTCTCTTGGTTATGATTCATAAGCTGCTAGGCTTTTTATAGAGCTCAGTGTTTCTTAAGGCTTGTGCCGGTGCAGTTGTCTCTTTGAGTTTACTCTTTTGGCTAGCTGGCAGCCAGAAACAGCCATTTTTTTCAAGAAGTCAGGAGGAGTTTTCGCGAACAACTTCTCTAACAACTTCTCGAGCAGTTATCTACTGTAGAGAAGAGAGGAGTGGGCAGAGGCAGGAGGTTGTGATCACCACGGAACAGCAGTTGGTTTAGTCTAGTGACACATGGCTTTCTAAATGAGAGGGCTCTGAATAAAATACAAATATCAAAGCCATGTGTCTGCTTGTGGGTGCCACATTCTTTAGGATCACAGTGGCCGTCTTTATGCACGAATGTCGCAGAAACTGCTCGGTTTCATCCCGCGTGAATGATGTGGCAAAATTGTGAAATATGGGGTGGAAAAGCGCCCTCAAAACAGTCAAAGAAACCGCCAGAGCGCTGGAAAGCAGCTATAGGGAAGCCAGTGCTGTCACTTTAAAATGGCGATGGGCCCCGGCGCCTTTGAAATCATTTATCACAGAAGCCGTAACATCTGCCACCATCTTGGATTCATTCGAGAAGTGCGTCTCAGTAGCCATTTTAAAAATGTTTGTTTTCAATTCAAAACACTTAATTAAGTGCAGGCCAGGGTAGAATATATGCCTTGAGCTGCTTTCCTTCACCCTGGTTCAGAACATGGCTTTTTCACAACTATGTGCTTTGAATTGAAAGCTTTCTTTTCTTTCTTTCCTCCTTCTTCTTCTTTATTTTTTTTTTTCCCCACTGCAGGGCCTGCTCTTTCTCAAGACTAAGCTGAATGTAAGGCTGGCAAATTCAAGGAGCTGCTTTGATAGGAGCCTGAGTGTCCTGGGGCCAGAGGGGGCAGCCGAGCCTCTCCAGGCCATGGCGCCTGGGCTGCTCTGGCCCACAGGCCACAGCCGAAGAGCTGGGCTAGGCCCTGCATGTATTAACCCAGCATCCCGTTTCGTAAACAAGAGGCTTTCAGATGATTTGTGGTTGTGGAAGGAATTAACAGCCTTGTCACTAGTCCCTGGAGAGGCTACCAGAAAGGTAGTTGTGTCCCTCTTGTCCTTCATAAGCTATTTGCATCTTTTTTTTCCAGTCTTTCTAGGAGGCGCTTTAGAGGGACAGCGTGAAGACAGTGCTTGTCTGTTTACATCGCCTTTGGTTCAGCCGCCTTTTATCACCATCACTGACACGTTGCAAACAAGCCTGGGGAAAAGACAAGCAAGCGCTCAGGAATGAACAGCTCCAGACCGGCCGGGGATGGGCCGGACCCAGGGTTCTGGCACTATCTCCTCAACAGACAGGAAGAAAAGCCAGCCGCTGATATGAGGATGATTTAGAAGCTAAGGTAGTGTATGTAGATCTTGGTCCACTCCCCTGAAGCATGGGGGAGCATAAGAGGTTTTTGTTTGTTTGCCTGTTTGTTGTTTGTTTTGTTTGTTTGTTTGTTTTATTGGGAAAAAGAGAAAATTGGCTGGGGACCTCTGAATTCAGTTCCTCTTTGTAAATCTGAACCTGCATTTCCAGATGTCGCAAATTCTCCATCTGAACGCACAAGTCACAGCAGTTCCCTCACCAACCAGAGCGTTCAGATGCTTTGATGGTTACATATGCACTATCACACAGCACGCATATGTACATTGTGTCCACCATCACCTTCCCCAAATTCAAGTGAGTAAGGGGCAGTAGGTGTGTACTCCGGGATGCTTAGCAGATACCTGCCCCACATACCTTGTACACTGTAGTTCTCATGCTGGAGAAAATCAGGTAAACACATCAGCGAGGAGCTGCAGCATGTTTTAACCACTGATTTTCAGGCTGAGATGATTTCTGAGTGATGGGGGGACTGGGACTTTGTAATGTGTCATGGTGAGCAAGTATGTGCAGCTTACATTAATGAAAACCAGAAATAGATGATCTCAGATTTCAATGACTCTGTGCTTTTAAACATGACATCTTTATTTCAAAACACAATGTGTACAACGCAGTTTTTGTTTCCTGAAGGTGCCTGGAAAAATGTGAATTCAGAGCTAAGCAAAGAAAAAAGACCCCTCATACATCTGCAGTAAAATGAAGACGCAATGAAGTTTTGAAGAAGTTATGCTACAAGTTTCTGCACAGAACACTTATTTATATACCAACAGATATGTTGGTCCACTAATGATGAAATATATTCACAATTCTGGCAGTGTTTTGATTAAACTGAAAGAAGGAAATAAATTAGAGTACTCTATTACTAATGACAGGGTCACTGCAAAAGACACCTTTAGTCTCTGATCACAGTACTGTACAGAGGAGATGGGATGCATCTGTGGTGAAAGTAGAAGTGTCTGCTTAGTGTGTGTGCTCTTGGCATGTGTTTGGGAATAGGCTGCAATTCTGATGTGGGGAAAATGAAAACAGAAAAAGAGGGATACCTGCTGCTACTTGAGCTAGTGCTTCCTAAAAACAAAACCAAAGCATGCTTTTAATTTTTTTTTACTACACCCATCTTTTTGAAGTGTCTTGTGACTGCGTGAGGGGGATGTTGCTCTAGATTTAAAGGAGGAGGGTATTTGCTTTCTTTTTCCTTACAAATCTGTTTTTTTACGGGCTTTCTTCTTTGGGCACGCATTCCAGTGTTACAGATGCACGCTGAAATTACAGGGGTGAGAAGGCAGCCAGGAATGAGTAACATGCAGCCATACACACAAAACAGAAAACATCCTCTTTGACTAGGTGATAATTAGAAAGGCTGCTGTATTGCCATGTACACAAACAAAGCATGTCCCCATTGGGAATGTATTTTGCTTCCTCTGATGTGAAAAGAGTAATTTATTTATTTATTTGTTTGTTTGTTTATTGTGGAGGACAGACTTTTTAACTGCTCACTGACCTATTTTTAAACAAAACTTCTGCCTGCGCCAACAGCTGCTTCCAGCTAGAGGCATATGACCACTGTCCAAATGGGTCTTGCTGGGATGTTGGAGGGCCGAACTAGTGTCTGATTAGAAATGGTTGATAACTTATCAGTGCTCCGTGTTACTTGACTAAAGCCAATTAAACATTGCTTGGAAATGAGCTGCTATCTTCTCATCTTCAGCAGAAACAGACATACTGATAACCCCATAGCCACAGCTGGTGACTGACAAACTAAGTCAACCTATAAACCACTGACTTTTTCTCCCATTGGAAGGATCATCTTCCCCTAACACATTTCTATTGTGTGAATCCAGAATGCAAGGTTTTGGCTCTGTATCTGACCAAATCTTTGCTTTTTCTTTCCACAGACTGACCATAACTCCATCAGTGTAGAATGATCTACCCAGAAAAGACATATGTCACAACAAAGACAGTAAAATAATATTTTGAGAGCAATTGTGGTTACACAGTTAACAGATATGAATATGAAACTTTTGGATTAAACACATGGCAGGCTGAAACAGTTTGTTGTTGGATGCCTTGCAATAACAAATATGACACATCCATGTGTTTTTATACGGGAAAGGAAGGAATACACTCTGAAAAGCAAGAAGGAAGGAAGGAAGGAAGGAAGGAAGGAAGGAAGGAAGGAAGGAAGGAAGGAAGGAAGGAAGGAAGGAAGGAAGGAAGGAAGGAAGGAAGTGCAGGGAAGTGCAGGGAAGTGCAGGGAAGGGAAGGGAAGGGAAGGGAAGGGAAGGGAAGGGAAGGGAAGGGAAGGGAAGGGAAGGGAAGGGAAGGGAAGGGAAGGGAAGGGAAGGGAAGGGAAGGGAAGGGAAGGGAAGGGAAGGGAAGGGAAGGGAAGGGAAGGGAAGGGAAGGGGAAAAGATATATTTGGTGTCTTAAGACAGCAAATTAAGTGAATAAGAGCTATAATCAAACTCAGAGCCAACTCCTCTTGCCAGGACACTGCACAGTAAGGCTGATGGAATTGCCCCTCTCCAGCTGACCCTAGTTACTGTTCAGGTCTAAATGGTGGCAAAAATACCACAGCAACACTTAATGTGCCAGGGAAATTATATATAAATTAGGCTAAAAAACATGTTAAATAGTTGCCTTTCTTGCTGGCGGATAATTACTTCCAGTTCTGTGTTATATCCAGGAGAAGGGAGCTATGCGAGTTCAAAGTGTTGCTCATTAGTGATACAAAGGTTAATTTAGTGGGGACAATATAAGGTCAAAGCTGAACCTCAGTTTATGTTTTACGTTTTATGTTTTTAGTTTTCCTTGCTAAACATTCTACCTTGCATTTTACAGAGAAAAGGACAGAGCCTCGTAGAAGTCAACATGTCTTTTTAAGGTTGCTGTTACTTGCAGAGGGAAGAAGAGGCCAGATAACATTTGTGTGAAAACACATCAGTTTCAGTATTTGGATATGATTTTGTATTCAACTAAACCAAAACAAAACAGATTATTTTATGAAAAGGTTCAACAGAATTTAAATGCAAATTTTATAAGAGCACAAAATGCTTTCTACCTTCCATATAGAATGGTAGCAGTAAGCTAACATTGATTCATTTACATGTATTCATAACATGTAATTTGCGTTTTCCACCAAAAGTTCTAGATTATATACACACAACTCTCAGAAAGGGGCTTTTAAACTATTTATGTAAGATTCACAAAACATGCTTATGCACATGCACAGCTTAAGAACTAAAAATTCCTGCACACAAATTCCCAAATGACTAAAACAGTATTCTGTAAAGCTCTAAATTACATTACATTTTAACTACATTGCACATGAAAACACTCAGATAGGAATTTAGTTGGCCTCTTGCAAGGTTTAACAAGAAGAGACGCAGTAGTCATCGGTATAATACAGATTCTGTATCTTTTAATGCAAATATATGCTGCAGAACTTAGAATTTCTGCAGTGGGCCACATCCAGCCATGATCAGGTCATGATTCTTCAACAAAACTTTTAATAATCTACCTGAGTGTTTTTATTTAGCAGAACTTGTCAGTGCAAGGCTGCCTGCAGTGCTGCCAAACTCAGTTCCTACTCCAGTTCCAGGCTGTTTTCAGATTTGTACCATCCTTGGTTGGCACGCAGCTATGCTGGAGAGGAGGGTGGGTTTTTCCATAAATCAACGGGAACAAAGGAAATAAAGCAGACGGCTTCATCTTAATTACCACACACAATATAATAATGATATTTTTCATTTTAAAGGTGTGTAACAAATTCTTGGCTAAAACACTTGTGTGAAATAGAACTCCTCCCAAAATAATGCACCGTAGTAGCAATTTTAAGTCATAAAATTCCAAGGTCTTGCTAAAGTTTAAAAAAAAAAAAAAAATGTAGGGGAAAAGCGGTGTCAGTGGGCTGAAATTCCTTTGACAGATGTAAAGGTCTTGATGACAGTTATTTTCCAGGTCTGCAGCTCAGCAATCATGCCTCTGAACGGTTTCCCACGTGAAGTGTTTGAAGAAGCGGTCGACGTGTGACTGATCTCCAAGGCCCACCGCCTGGTCTTCTTTAAGGATGAGGCAGAGGCAGAAGGAAAGGTGATGCTGATAAGGGAATCTGAACCAAATGTTGTCACATTCTAGAGATGATTAGATGCCCTTGCCGTGACTTATTACACAACCTGAGACTGGAAAGAGAAAACCTGGGATGAAATGTAGCCGCAAGGGGGGGAAGACGCTTTTTCAGCAAAGAGCAAAAGGCAAGAGAGAAACTGTTATCGATGCCTAAGAGCGGGTTGGGTGTCAGAGCGCTCTCTGTGCTGTGGGATGTATGGGAGGCAGCAGTAAATCATCCCCCTGACTCAGACCTACCGTGATCTAAATTTATATCTGCACAAGTTGCTGATAATGTAAAAAAGCTTTGCTTTAATAAAGGACAGGACAATACATTTAAAATGCAATTTTGGTAGGTATGGGTTGTTTCAAATTTTGCTTTTTCCTTGTGTACATTAACAAATGAAGCTTTGAAGCCAAATACACATAATAGAATGAATAGACTTAAATTTGAAATCCTCTCTAAACTTCAAGTAATTGTTTCTGTATTTGCTTATAAGCAAAACTATTGCTTCCTATATTTCAGATGTGTAATACACAACTTAAAGAAAGTGCAGCGTTGCTCTTAAATCTGCATTTTCTTTTAAAAAGACAGTTACCTGTAACCATATGTCTAATCTTGAGATTAGATACATTTTCTATATGCTTTGACATCTATAATGAAATATTTAGCTTAACAGAAAAGGCAAAGGACTTTGGGATTCTGGAGGAGCTCTTTGGTCAGAACACTAGTTCACTTGAGAGTATTTTCATATCTGTAAAACACCCTTTTAAAGCTATCAGAAAAAAAAAAAATCTGCTGTTGTGGAAAATACTGATTTGTCACATTATGCACAGACTCCAGAGTGCAGTTTATACATGACGTGTTGTACACAACCGTTGCTGCATGGCTTAATTTTCCATACAAATGCAGAAGTTACATTAAGTTACATTTCTCAAGACTCTTCCATTTAGTCTCTCATTTTTCTCACTGATTTCAGGACAGGCAGCATCTCCCCTTACATCCACCTCCCTGCAGATCCTAGGAGAGGACAGAGCAGAACCTCTTATTGTGTTACTTATTGTGTAGCTTTGAATAAGTATGAGTCAATTCTGTTTTGGAAAAGTAGTGTCGTTCTTAATATTAGTCATGGTTTACACAATAATTAAAGTGTCCACAAGTTTTTCAAAAACAGTTTTATTAAGTGTGAAGACCTTGAAACAAAGATTTTAGAATTAAATGAGTTATAATTGTGTTTATTGAAGTATGTATAGTTTGTAAATGTGCATTGTTCTATCTATTGATACAGTGGCTCAGTGTGCAAGTGCAAGGCAAGTTTGCACACAAAACATGCAACTTGTCCTAGTGCAAGGGAAAAGTTGTCAATCTTCTTCTTAAACAAATGCCACATTTCTCTCCAGCCTCAATGTCTATCACACACAGCCTAGATTTGTTCAGCTTCTGAATGCCCAAGGGCTAGAAACAGTTCTCCAGCTTAATATTTAATCGTTGAACTCCTCACTGGGGATGATAGCTAAGATGCCGTACAGAATGACTGATCACTAACACTAGCTGGGGGTGACACCCTAGCTGTCAAAGGGACCCTATCAAGCCTTTCAGAATCTTAAAGAAGGATGTGGTTTAAACCTGATTTTATGTCAGATACCCACTGCAACCCTGGGCAAGTCACTCCACCTGCTTTAGTTCCTCGTGTTCGAGACAGGCCTGGTACAACACACATTTGCAAATATGAGGTGAGACATCTGGCTGCTGCTGAAGTTAGAGAGAAATCTGAGGAGCAGCCTGGGGCCAGACAGACCTCGCTAGTGACCCCAGTCCACCAGAGGCAGCCTTGGCATCTTTTTGCCCTTCTCTGAGGTGGCTGAATAGAAAATTGAAAGTCTGGCCTTTTATCAGGTCTGTGAATGACTGATAAATCCCAGAGTGGTTGTAATGAATAGAAGATCCATAGTCTCTGAAAAATCAGTGTGGGCTCTACCTGCTGCTTCATTTTTATAGCTCTAGAGGAACCTTGATGAGACTGAGGTTTTACCACAATGTAAATTGTTGGTTTGGGTGTCCCAAGAATGCATGTCTCGAGGCAGCCAGGTGGTTAACACTGCTCTGCAAACAGCTGAGGCGAGTGCTGTGCAGAGCTGAGATGATTGGGATCAGCAGGAATTTGGGTCTGGAGCGTGCCTGTGACAGAGAGGATCTCTGGCTCAAAGTTTCCCATCCCTCTGCCTCAGGATCATGACTCACTGTGTCAAGGAAGAGGTCGTAAGACAGAAAAGGGCAATAAAGGGACAAGGAGGGAAAAAAAAAATCCAAATCCTTTCCCCTTGGTTTCTATCTCTGTCAGTATTTTATCTCAGGACTTTAAGACAAGTATCTTTTATAAGTCCTTCCTCAAGCCTGAGGAATTTTAAAAACTATCCACATGCTATCTCTGTACCTTCCTTTGCTCTCATATTGCCTTCCTCACAAGGGTTTGCCCTCACCTTGCTCCAGGCGAGTTTGTAGCACAGGCACTGAAGATGAAGACAGATGCCTTCAGCACCCCCTCACCTCACCCCTGTGCTGCCCTTCACCAGGCTCTCAACCCTACATGACCCCGTCCCTTTGCTGGCAGCCTTGTGGGAGTCTGAGCAGCTCATCACTGACTTTAAGGCCCAAAAGAAGTCAGTGGCAAAGTGAGGGAAACCTTAGCGCACTGCCTTTTATTTTATTTCTGTCCCACGAATAAGCAGAAAGCTTTACAATACAGTGTGGCAGCACAGATACTTAGTTTGTAAACTCCTGCCCCATGTTGGTGCAGTGCCTGCCCGTCAGGAGGTCCAGCCCATAATAACAACCATACCGAAACCCATATGAACATTGTAAAACATGCTTGCGTGCAGAGTGAGTATACTGGGGCTGTAGAAAATGTTACACTGCTTCAACAGATGAGTTAGACAGCATCTGTAGCTCCTTGTAGGATGAGCAGAGTGGAGCTCCTGCCCAGACATCAGGAAGGTCTGCCTGAAGCCTGAGTTCAGCCAGCGGCAGCCAAGAAGGACACACCAACACATGACAGCAGGACACTGCAAAAGCATGCTTTATAAATACACACAACAAATACTTTTTACCCTCTACTTCACCACTGCCAGCTCTTCTTGGCATATTGCTTCTCTTTTAAATCAAGGCTTCAGCTTTTCTTTTGCAGGAAAGATGAGTTCAGCATTATTTTTCCCAAACATGCTATCCAGCTGTCTTTTTGTTATCCTTACACAGTCTTATTTCCACAGTCACTGCATGTATACAATCATAGGACACCCTGAGTTAGAAAGGACTCAAGAGGACCATCAACCCGAACTGGAGGTGATGCCTTACTGAAGGAGATATCACCCCCATTTTACAGGTGTGTGTGTGAGGCACAGAGTACACTGAGTGACACAACCATGCAAAGAGTTTTCCTCGGTTTCACCATCTCTCTTCAATCTGCTAGAAAGGTCTTCCTAAAAGGAAGCGGGATGCTAAACTTCAGAAGCAGTGGGTTCAGTGGCTTAGGGGGGGAAAGAGATAAGAGGAGAAGAAGAGAAATTGTGGCATAGACTGAATGCTGATTGCTTGCCAGTTTTGCTGTGTGTTAGCTTTTATTTAGAGGAAACTACTGAGCTGTCAGCCCAGGCTGTCAGAAACTGAAGGAAAAACACGAATCATTATATACAGGGGGGACAAAAAATCAACCAACCAACCAACCAAAAAAAACTAACTCTGTAAATCACTGATGGAATCATCCCACTCTGCATCCTTTATCTTATACCATAAACTGATGCAACACTTATTTTCCTATACATATCCCTTCAGCAGAGGCCATGGGCAGGGGAAGGGGGAACTTGCTCTCCTCTCTTTGTTTCCTGCAGCATTCCTCTCTTCCTTTCTTCCCCACCCAGTCTGTGCAACAAGACTGTGCCCTTGCCTTACTAAATGATTAGACCCTGCTCTGCCCTTTCAGCTGCTGGTTCAGCCTTTACTTTTGGGGCACACGCTGTGCTGCAGCCTGGTTATAAACGGCTAGTTACAGACTTGTGGAGGAGAGTATTTTAGCTGCTGGGCATGCACGGTGAGAGTGTCAGCAGCTCCTCTGACTGCTGCTGAAAGATGAATCTGAGCTGGTTGGCCCCAGTACATCAGATGCCAAGACTGCAGGGAGGAGCTGGGAGAGATGAAAGAAGATCAAAAGTGGGAGGGAGGACTTGCTGTTTCTGTGGAAACCAGGACGTTAGTCAAACTCAGGTTTTTGCATCACTGACCCCAAGGTGACCTGCTGACCTCTCCTCCCAGGCTGGCTCCAGCACAGCTGTTTCTCCTGAAGGAAAGGAGCCAGGCTCACCTCCTGCTCCCTGCCTGACAGCGTGTCCAGGCAGACTCCCTCCTGCCAGCGTAAAGACAATTAAAAGAGCATCACGAACATGATTCAGGCCACCTAATAGTGAAGAGGTCAATGGGATAGGTACCCCAGAAAACCCCAGTGTGACAATGCCATTGCAGCAAGTAAATAACTGCACATGTGCTGCTCTTTCAAGTTTGCTGACTGCATAGATAAGAATCTTTGGATGTTGTTTGTTTCCCACACACGTGTACAAAATTCTGAAATGAAGATCTGAAGCAACCCATGAGGTTATGAAACCATATTCCAAAAGATGTTCACTGATCATTTTCCTATTCAAAAGGCCCTGATAATAATAAAAATAAAAATAAATAAATAAAAAGCTTTGACAGCATGCAGCATGAAGTTTAAACCAGCATGGAACAGCAAAGAAGCAGAAGCTTTATGGCTAGCTCCCGACAGGAGGAATTTATTTGAGAGGAAGAAGCAATATTTAAAAATCAGTAAAGAAATAATCCAGTGCACAGCCAGGACAAAGCAAGTACAATTATGTGTGCTCACATTAGGAAGAAGCAGCGGTTCCATTGCTAAACTCCTTCCTCAGGCAAGAGATCAAAGCAAATTACACCCATAAGAAGAATTTCTACAATGCCTCACTAATTAAATCGCAGTTGGTTCGTATAATATTGAAATCAAAAAACATGTAAACAAACCTTGAGACAAGATTGAATATTTTCCATGCAGACATGAGCCTGAACAAACTCTATCTTGTGCTGTGCCTGAATTTCGGAGAAGTTTGAATCCAGAGATGGGTCCAATTTTTGTGCTCCAGATACATCTCCACTTACTACTAATGAAAGTCAAGTCCTCAGCAAAGAAAGCACAGAGGCTGGAAGTAACACTCAAAACACAACCAATGACAGATGGAAAAAATGTAAAACAAGTCTAACCTCTCTGATCTTCAAAACTAAAAAGGAGACTGACTGGTGTCCTATATATAAGAGGCAAGTAAGTGTAAGACATTCAGCAAATTTTATGTTCCTGTAGGTAAGGGCAGGAATGAGCATTACAAATAACAAAACTAACATCAGTATTTTCCGAAATGACTGAGGCTAGTGGCAATGCAGCTGCAGAGAACAGCAGCATCCTTCTTTCACCCTCCTTTCTGAGTGAATTTACCTCCCCAAAAGTGGATGAGTGCTGCAAGGTATGTGGTGCTGGGCTGGTCAGAAAGCAACAATAAAATAGCTAGTGCTTACCACAGCTTTTTACAGCAACACTGATGAAAGCCTGTGTGACTGCTTGACTCTGAGGGAGCTGGATCACAAAAATGAGCCCTGACTCTGTGACACCTACAAATCTCTCCTGTCTGAGAGAGGCAGAGACTGCGGTTTGAATGGGTTATCCCTGCAGCTGCATGTGCTCACCCAAATCAGAAAATGATACCTAAAAAGAGGCAGCTGGCTATAGCTTGGCTCTTTTCCATTGCAAATCTGCAGTTGGAACTTGCATCATCTCTGCTGTCCATTAACTGTTTCTTCTCATTGATTTAGGAATTGTCTGTAATGCCTCCATCCATCAAAGGCACCTTAGGGAACACTGGGAGTGATTCCTCTCTTCTGTGTCAGAGATCGTACTTCTCTCAAATCATCTTCTGCTCTGTGTGTGCCAGTGCTGCTCTGGCTATGCCTGATGCAGTAAACGCAGTGAGGCCAGGGAAGGGGCCTGAGTGCAGCCCCACATCTGCCTCTATCATCTGGCTGTCAGCAGGCTCCCAGGAGCAGCGCCGGTGGCTGCCTCCTGGCCTGCTCCCGGGCATTGCTCAGGCACAGTTTGCAAGTGCCAAGAACCATTTTGTCACACCAGGGGTAGCCCCCTCACCTCCCAGCCCTCCCGCTCCATGTGCCGGAGGACCATCCCACCTCATCCTCTCTGCCCTGTTCCCCCAGCTCCCTGCCTGCTAACCCGGTTCTGCACACGCACACACACAGACACACACACACACTGCGTGTTACCACATCCCGCTGCTGTTCCTGTTTTTCTCTTTGAATCATAACCCTGGAGCCCTGCACCTCCAGAGCGCCAAGTTTCTCTCAGAAAGGAGATTTACAAAATGAAATTTGCTTTCTCAAGAGCTCATCTGCTTAGTCCCCACCTGCATTCCTAATCCCGCTGGTGACATCAGGGGTAATGGGCAGACATTTGGATTTTGAGTAAAAGGCAGAAGTGATTGATCTCATATTCACTTTCCACATCCACTCCCATCTGCTCCCAAAAGAGAAAAATAAAGGAGGTTTTTAGAAAAGACAATAAGCCAGAAAACTCGCACCCCGAGGAATATGATGGAATGGCAGTATTCCTGCAGTGAACACTTCTGAGTTTCCCGTAACGACAAACCGTATCCACAGTTCAAGTACCCTTTGGAAGTATTAACTGTGAGCTGGAACAAGCAGCCAAATGTTCAGCAAGGATGTGGCCTCCTGCCAAGGGCAGCGTGGGGGATTCACAGGGGCGATGCTTTCTCCTTCCCCAGGCAGAGCGCCAGGAGAGCACAGCTCCCTCCCAGGGAGCCGGAGTGGCTGCAGAGCTGGCCCGGCTTCACAGGCAGCCCAAAAAAAATCCTCCTGTCCATTAGGTTTCCCCCCAAAAGACATTCCTTTCCCAGCTCACCTGTGCCAAGTGCTTCCCTCTTGGGGCAGCTCAAAACTCCGCTACCTACCACAGACGTTTGCAGATGGCTCTTCTACAGACAGCCACTTCTAAGGGGCTTAACCTGTGCAGACTTCTGCTTTGCTGCAAAAGGGCATCACTCATAATTACACTTTTGCAAAGTCCTTGCACACACTCACACATAAATTTTTACATACGGGGAGGAAGGAGACCAGCTGTAGCCCGAGGATAGGTATATTCAGCACCAGCTTAACGCATATCTCTACTGCATCCCTATTTATCCTATTTATGAATAAATCTTTGCAGAAAAAATGTCTCGGGAGGAGAAGCCACAGGGCTGTTATAGCTTTAACAGACCCCGAGTACTTATCTCAAGCTGAGAGAGTGATTTCATGGCAATAATTTGTTTAAAGTGTTGCTGATTGCTTCCTATTTCTTCCTAGCAAATGACTTTTACACCTTTCTACTGTTGCTTTTATATGAGCTGCTATGGCAATTACTCTGCAGGAGGCTGTGTAAACATCGTACAGACCCTTTTATCTGACTACTAAGGGCCTTAGAAGACACTCCAGAGACCTGATAAAAATGTTTTCATTCGTTTTTCCCCTTCCTTGGAAAAAAAATATTGTTAGTATGTTTCTTTCAGAGTTTTCTCTGTTCTTACAGAGCACATTCAAGTGTACTTCCAACAGAGCCTGTCTGATCCCTGTAAATAGCCTGTTTGAAGGGAACTTCGAGAAAGTACAAAATGAAATTATTGAGAGCTTCTGTATGCAAGGAACAGCTCCTTCTCAGCTAAAAGAAGAATTTCAATGATAAAATAATTTCAAACCAAATTGAATCTTTCAGAAGAACCAGGGGTGATCACACAGTGATTAGGGCTATTGGGAGGGACCTATTTCTGATTCATCTTTTTATTCTCAAGGTATGAGAAATATCTATTCCTCCTACCCCTGTTAGGAACAGGTTGATGCAACGATGTTTGGAGCACAACCAAAGCTTTTTTGGTGTATGACTGAGTCTCCAGCCCAAGGATTTGAGTTCAACCTGTGAAAGTTTTCTGCTTTAGCCCAGCTTCAAAGTGTCTGCATTCTCCTTTCTTGTATCTCTCAGAGATCGAAGCCCTGCCAGATCACCCATGAAGCCCAAACTTTATCACACATCATCTCTGTCAGATTAACCAGAGCACACACCATGGAGTCTATGCTGGTTTTGTGCTTTTCTACCAGTCCTATTCTGGCTCTAAGAGGACTTAAAATAGCAGAACCGTCACAAACTTTGAACAGCACAGGAAGACAATACAAGCTCTGGCATAAATCCTGCTGGTACAAAGTCGGGTTGTCAGTGTATTTTAGCAAATTTAGGCTGATGATATGAATTCGTTCTTGAGCAGTGTTTTGTGTCACGTGAACACAGTGGGGCTTTTGGTTTGGTTTTGCGTGTGGTTTGTTTTTGTTTTTGTTTTCTATGGAGTTCACTCTACTTGATCAAATCATGATGTTATTCAATGAAGAAAGACACTGAGAGTAGAAACAGAATGGTAATTAAACCTTATAGAATGATTAACTCATTGATAAATTATTGTAGTTAGGATTGTGATGCAGGTTCCTTTTTAATTCTTGATTTACAGGGGTTTGAGGAATTTGGTAATTTAACTATAACTTAAATAAAAAGAATGATTAAACTTTCACATATTCACCAGCAGATTGTCTTCCTTTCCAAAATTTAATGCAACATAGTCTAGCATAAATAGCATGATATTTAATTCCCCAGTATTCTGAATGAATAAGACATTTCAAATATCTTATGGATGAAAGCACCAAAATTCAAAAAAGGAATTTGTAAGACTTCTACCTGTAGGCAAAATGGGGAAAACATTCTTTAGTGATGCTATCATAGATTCTTTATCATAATTTTCCATTTTGTGTATAATTTGTATAATTATCCCATTTCATGAACTCTGAATTAATATTTACTTTGGGTCAAGGTCAATTTGAAAGTAATCACATCAGTTTACTTCTGAAAGCTGCCATGTCCAATAACCCTGTCCCAGGGATAAAAGCAGATATACCATGTCATGATACATCCATTTGTTTTCTTCAACTTTGATATGTTCATACAAAATTTTCTGAATTGTAGATTGTGTTAGTCTTCTGGAACTTTTACTGTCATGCCAGCCCCTCTGCTGTTTACCCACCCCTACTGAAACACCATTAATGATGCACAATGACAACCCTTTATAGGAACCTGCCATGATATATTATGTGCATTTGGCTATGGTTTTTCTTTTTTTCTTTCCTTTTTTTTTTTTCCCTCCAATATTTAAAATGCGTTATCAGTATTAGCAGAGAACAGGACTCCAGCAGGTACTGAATCCAATTCATACTCAATAAAGGCAATAAAGGATGTTAGGAGTACCTCTAATGACAGAGAGTTCTCTCCTCGTTTCTACTTACACTTCTGGGCAGTGACGTAGCACCCCGGGTTTAAGAGTAGAGCAGGTACTCATCAATAAACTCTGCTGCATCTGTTGAAAGAAGTGCTGTGTGCAGCATGATGTCAAACAGAGTGAGCATGAGCTTGTTAAGAAGTTATGAAAGGAGCTTCCTTGTTCCTTGGGCTGAAAGCCTGTTTCTGGCTCCAGGTGGTAAAAACATTAAAGAAGAATGGTTGTGAATTATTCTCACTCCTTATTTCACACAAGCACAAACTGGTCTGGTACAAGAACTGTCTGTCAAGTAAGTGAAATGAGATAAGCAGGACTAACACAGCATTATGCACTTAGCATAACAGTTTGCTCCTGTAACTTTATCTAGATGGCTACATAAATTGCTCTTAAGTACTCCAAGTGTTGTTACGTGCATTTTCTTTACAAACAGGCTTGGTAACATTGTTCTTCCCAGCCTTTGCACACCCACATACATGCTCCTTCAGCCCTTAGAAAGAGACAACTGTAACTGTAGGAAAGAAAATCTGAAAAGATAATTCACAATAGAACTATCTAGCTGTAGTAGAAGTCTTCTGAGTATGTGCCTACAGAATAAGGTACGGATACATGAAAATGCAATGCAATACTGCCCTCTGCTAAAGGAACCTTCATTTGCCCAGCATAAGCTGGGTAGTGGAAAATCCTGCTTCAAGTCCCAGCATTTGTGTAAGAATACTGCTCAGACCAAACAAAGAGGAAACAGTTGTACAGTATCTGATGTTCATCTGCAAGCCAACACAGAGCTAACAAATTCATCACCATTCCTTAACATTGTTAAACCAAATCCTAAAGCCTCACTTGGTGTGAGTGGTGGCACAATTCCACCACAAAAGCTTGTTTCAGATAATAATAATAAAAAAAAACACTCTACACACTGTCAGTGTCTAGTCAAAGCCACTCCCCAAGTGCAATCGCCTTCAAACTATTTTAAACAACTGAGACTATTTCTGATTTAAGTGGAAAATTTCTCATGTTCCCAGCTAGCTTTAGCAATTTAACTGTCTTTTAGATGGGGTTTATCATTCCTAGAAAGAGACCTGACCTTACCCACACCAAGTGCCCCTCAGCCTCTCCATCCTTTCAAGGGGCTTTATAGAGAAGAAGATCCCCATGAGTGCTTGCCTGCACACAGATATGGAGCCCTGCAGGATGCTGAAGACACAGAGGGAGGTTGGCAGGTGGCTCTCTGGACCAGCAGGAAGAGCACCCTGGATGGAGCTGGATCCCCATTCCCACAAAGGTGGTCATCTGCTCATGGGACCTCCCACCCCTACACCCACCCTTCCTCAGCTGCCATCCACCTTGCTGAAGCATTGTCTGAAACACTGCTGGTTTCAGCCAAGGTTAACAGAGTTGGCTGGGAGCAGCTGAAGAGAAGGCATTTAATCTGTCCTGCCATCCTCAAGAGAAGGGAAGTCCCTTCCAGCCTAAGAGCGGCCACAGGGAATTCTCATGGGACTTGGGTTCCTAAATCACCTCCATGAAACTTCATCCCAGATCTGAAGCATCCTGTATAGCCCCTCAGTACAATGTGAGGAGACTTAGTTTTCTTTGTTGGTGGTGGTTTGACTTTAGTTCCTTGCTGAAACAAACATTTAACCAATTCACCTCTAAAAGCATTTGAATTTATTAACTTATTATTGAATTTATTAATTTATTAATATATTAATTTATAATGTTTGTTCCTAAAATGGCCTGTTGCAAGAAACACTTAATATTCCACGTTCTTTTTGTATCTGCTAACATATAACCTTCATGCCTATAACTCTATTCTTTAAATTTCTTTCTCACTTTCATTTGTCCAGTATTGCTGAGATAGCAACAGCTATAACCCATGATTTGAAAAATACATTATGAAGTGTAGAAGGCAACCAGTAGAGCCTACCACTTTGCTCCATGCATCCTTCTAGTACATTCTCCTCTTCCATTTGAAAATAAGAAGCTGTTGTTCTTTTCTTGATAGATTATTTTGTTAGGTCTGCTCAATTGATGCTGTGATTACATATAGTCTATCTGCAAACATTTTCCACTGAAACTTCAGGGACTATATGGTCTCTAAATCAGCCATTCCAGGAGATACTTGTCTTATTTTCCGCTTCTACAGCAGAGCTACAGACCTTAAAATATAAAAGTCAATAATAAAGTATTTTTTTGTTTCCTGTTGTATTCAGTGTGAGAAATTCTCTGATCTAAAAGCAGCTTCTTTTATATCACTTTCTATTAGGATCCTTTTCAAATTATTTACTGACTCCACTGTTAGACATCACTTTCAGTTTAATAACAGAAACTTGCCTTGCCATATTTCTGTGTTTACTCACATTCTCTTGTCCCATTTTTCTCAGGGATGTAAAAATCTTCAATCTTCGGTCTAAATCTTGAACTATTAAGAATATCTGAAGTCATCACATGCTTTTAAACCGGACCACAGGCAAATGAAAGGTACCTGTTGCATAGAATGACCAAATAAGTGGCATTTTTGGGGATAATGATATTTCATTTTGCTTTTGGAAGAGAAAATACATCAGTGTTCAATCTGTATATCAATTAAAATGACAGCATGATCCTTACCTGCATGTAAATGAAGAAACTCCCTAATTTTATATTCAGTATTGTTCCTCTACAACTTGGCAGTATGTCTGGCAGCAGACAACATAATACCCATTGTTCTTAAACCTCTTCAAAATATGAATGAAATCCAGTAGAAAATTAGAAACCAGTCTGACTTCACCCATCATTGGTGGTTTCATGTAACCAAGCAGTCAAAAGTATGAATCCCAGTCCTGAAAGAAATACCGGTTACAAGTACACTACCTCCAGGCAAATCCACTCCTTGTAAAATACAAAGCTGTCCTGATTGCAATGATTGGGAAGGTCACAGTGAGTAAATTATAGAGAACAGGTGAAGAAACTAACTCTTAACTTAAGGAGATGAGGTGAGAATAAAGAAACAAAGAGCAAGTGAAGATTTCTCTGCTACAAGTAGAAACTATGCAGGTGTGTTACTTTGTTATTTCATTGGAAAGAAGGGGTAGAGGGTGAGCTAGGAGAGTTCAGAATTGTATGTTAATAGTCAATGAGTTTTTGCCTAGACTGCAGAGAGTTTTGGCACACAATGAGCTTTATGTTACTGCTCCAGACAGCTCAGATCAGCTCTTGGGCTGCTCTAAATTATATCAGAAGCTGCAACCTGTAGTCGTAAGGAAATGCTAAGTTTATGCAAAGCCTCCTAACTCCATGTTTACTCTTGACCTCATCAGCAAGTCAGCTCTGTCTATATAAGCTTTTTTGTCTGCACCTACAGTGCCTCTGACATGTTCAAGCAGGAGATGACAGCCATCAGAGCAGCTTGTGCCATTTTGTGATGGAATACATGTTCACAGACCTTGGCAATTATATTATAGGCCCTCATCTGTTCAGTGTTTAATTTGTGAAGCATTGTTCAAATGCATAGACATATTACATGACTCATACCACATGATACAGGAACTTTAGCATCCTGCAGTAAGAGCTCCTCTGAGATGGTCCACAACATGTTGCCCAGAACATTTCCGAACCTGTCAATTCACTTGTAATTCACCGGTTCTGTATTCCATCACTGCCCCAATTTCTTTTGCCACTTTTTCCTTCTGTGTCTTATCTTTTTGGCAACCTAGGCCAGTAACATATAACTGAACCTTATATTCAGAGGAACCTTCAGTGACCTGTCCCTAAATCTGGACAGGCACAGAACTGATTAGCGATGCAGTGCCAGTAACCCTGCCCTGCTGTCGTATGACCAGGGAAGAACAGGAAAGTTAACCTCTAACAGGATAACTCTGAGCTTTCTTTGCTGGAGTTTACCGGAGGTGTCAGCTTTTGAAGTGTAAGAGTCAGCCTTTCACAGAAATGTGTGTTTTCCAAATTATTTGTATGCTAGGACAACATTTTCAAAAGGGGTTAATGACAAGTTACTTCTTGCAGGACCCTGAGCATAAGCTTTCCCTATGTTTCTGATTGCACAGCTCTGTTAATCAATTTTATACAACTAATGTTCCTGATCTGCTACCCAAATGTGCCCTAGAGAGTTCATATGATCTGCTGTGAGTCTGATAGTATATTCCTTAAATTAGTTTGCCTTAGGGGGAAAAGATTAGGGCCCTGTATACCCTTGAGTACCTACTTTTAGGTCTTTGCCAGAAGACATCCCTCTTTTATCTCTCTTGCAGAGCAAATTCCTCTCAGTTTGTGACACAGGAGGTAATACTTCAAAGCTCTCCACTATAAAATGAACTACAGAAATTTGAATAGTATTTAGTTAATGGCAGGCCTGTTAGTGGCTCCAGGGAGGAGAACAAATTCTGATAAAATCATGGTGCAGCTTCTCTTTGCACTAAATTTGGGTCCACCTCGAAGGATGTACTGAATTAGTTATTTCCACTGTTACTACTTTTGGCATGATGTGCAGCAGGTTTTATTTCCCAGAATGCTTAGTGCTTTATCTCTGCAATGAATTTTAAGTTTGCATGGAGAGGCAAAATATGAACGGTCACAGATATTTTCTATGGTCAATAAGTTGGAGAGAGCTAACCAGATAATGTGGTTTGTTCTGGAACTGATTGTCTCCTGCAGGATACCCCAAGCACTTTAAAGAAAAATTTCTCTAAAATTACAATACCAGAAGCAGAAGCAACAGAGAAATAAACATTTGACTATTTTTGCATAACATTCCTCATTACCTGGTTTATTATCAGCTTAATAGGTAATTCTTCTGCAGAAAATAAAATATTTGTAATGCAATTTATATATTCCTTTACTTATTTTTTTTCAAGACTTTTTTTCTAAAAATCTTTGCAGCTATCCTGTAAGCCTCTATACAGGCACTTTGGAGAAAACAATGTCCTAAAAACAAAGCAACAACAACAACAAAAAAAAAACTCAGACCAAAAACAGTTTTCTCTGTCTGCATGACTTGAAAAGTAGAAGAATTTATTCCAAATATAAAGCAGTCAAAACCACATCTATAGACTTAATTAACTAGCTGTGTTGTGTTGTTTACAAACTTACCAACTGTAGAAGCCATAAACATCTGCTGCAGAAATAAATAAAATGCATGTAAAGCCATATTTATAACTGCTACAGAGTAAGGAAATAAATTAATTTGTGAAGGTTGATACCAAGTCCTGCTGGGGACTGAAGTCCCTGCTTCTAAGCTCTCGACAAAGGTTGGTGGGAGAGATTTCAGGAGGACAATGAAACCAAAATAATTGTACTCCATGCTATTGCAGATTATAAAATAATAATAATAATAATAATAACAACTACAACAACATTGCAAACTACCCCATAATATTTTACCTATTTATCCAATTTCTTCTCAGAAAGAGCGGTCAGGCATCAGAACGGGTTGCCCAGAGAAGTGGTGAAGTCACCATCCCTGGGGGTGTTAAAGGAAAGGCTGGACATGGTGCTTAGGGACATGGTTCACTGGGTGACATTGGTGGTAGGGGGATGCTTGGACCAGGTGATCTTGGAGGTCTTTTCCAACCTTAATGATTCTATGACTCTGTGATTTATGTTTAAACTGTTTCTGTTCACTAGCCATTGTCAAAAGTGGTTATGTCCTTCTATTTCTCATATTTAGATTATATTATCGTTACAAAATGAAATATGCCTATATTCATTCAAAATGAAATATGCCTTCCAATGGCTATGCTTAATATCAGAAATTTAACAAAAATCAATATGTTTAAGCTCATATGAGATTTGATGAGGCAAAAGAATACTTCCAGGCTTAAAAGTTATTTCTTCTTAAATAATACTTTGTTTCCATCACAGATTTGTCTTATAGGCATACAAGATGTCTTTACTCTTATGTCTTAAACTTCTGTGTTGCTATTTATTTATTTATTTATTTTATCCAGAATTATATGAAGATTTATGGTATGCAGTTGCAAGGTATGTATCCTCATAGATGCAGTTTTGTACATCTGGACCACAGAAAACATGAAAATTAAAGCAGTATTAACAACATGGAGTTTCTCTTAGTCCCAGTCAACAACACATCATGTACTTATAAAATATAAATATAAATAAATACTTATAAAATAAACATTCCCTTTCAAAACCCCAAACAAAACCATCAACTCAATACAAAGAAAGAATAAAATGAGATGAAAGAAAGAAAGAAGAAAGAAAGAAAGAAAGAAAGAAAGAAAGAAAGAAAGAAAGAAAGAAAGAAAGAAAGAAAGAAAGAAAGAAAGAAAGAAAGAAAGAAAGAAAGAAAGAAAGAAAGAAACGTGTAACTTCACCTTTTATTCCTTGTCTCCATGTCAAGTCCTCTAACATTCAGATCTTGCTTGCATTTCCCCAGTGGAACAGGCTTTGTTGTCTGCATCTATATCTACCCCAAATCCTCCATGTTGTCAATTTACAGATTTGCTAATTTTTTGGCTCCTTAGTCACAAAAGCTCTTTTACTATGGGTCTTGTTAGACTGACCCCTTAGTTCCTTCAGAGTCAGGGCAACCATCAAATAGTGGACATGGGGATGGGATAGATCCTTCTCTCATCCTGTCCAGTGCTGGATGACTTGCTGTTCTTTCTGACTTGGCTTATTACCATGGCATGTTTGGAAACTGCAGACATTTGTCCTGACTGTTCAGTTCTAATGCTGGCTCTGGCATCAAACATCCTATTTTCAGTAATCCAAATACTGAGTTTTCTAGTGCCAATATTGCTTTGAAGACTACGTCTTATGGAAACCTTCACTGATAATCTAACCACTTGCACACATGCTGTCTTGCTACTAACTTTCAGGCTCTTCCCTGATGCATTTAATGCACCTTCCAATGAAGGCCCATAAGACTTTCCATGCTTCACCCTCATGTTTTCTTAAGGCTCTCTTCAAAACAAAAAGGTACAGGAACTTACTTCAGAATTTAAGATGACAGCCATGCCTCTTCCAATGTGCCCCAAGCTGGCTTTATTGAGAAGGCAGCAGTAGGATATTCTTTCTAGTGAATTGGGAATGTGAAAAATATAAAGCTGGAGTATGATGTTTTATTCATATATGTTCTTGTGCCACACTCTTTAGTTTTTACTGCCATATCTATACCCCAGAACAGTGCATTTAATGTCAGTCATTCTGGACTGTTTATTTTCTCATCTTCTGCTCAAAGAAACAAGAATCTAGGAGAAAGTGTCATTTTCAATTAGTTTTGGGAAGGTGGGAAAAACCTTTTTTCCTTTAGCATACACACCATGGTGTGTGTAAGATAAGGCAAAACAGATATGTATTTGAGGTAAAAAAAAAAATGGTGACATATGATGGCATATAAATTAGGGGGAAACTTAATACCGACCCTCTGATTCAACCCCAAAGATATATATTTTTGTCTCACAAACATTTTTTTTTCTCTTTAAGCAAACTGTTTTGCTGGGTCAGTGGCTTTATCTTACAACATTATCATGTTCCCAGATCAATCTCACCTTAAAACTCAAAAAAAAAAAAAAAAAATTAGCTCCAACACATCCATTGCTTTTGGAATACTATCAAAAGTCAGCACAGAGAGAGGAAGGTCACAACACATTCAGTGGCTTCTGAGGAAAAGGACTCAGAACTGGTTAAAAAACAACACTGGAGCTTCAGCCCCAGCTAAATTGCATACAGATCATCAAGGACAAGCTCCTCAGAGCACCAGAATAGTCTAAGGCAATGTGAGAAGAGCTGAGCTGAAGCATGGCAGAAGGCCAGCATGTATGAGCGTGGTGATCCTGACTGAGCTCAGACACAAAAAGCAGGTGCACAGAAGTGAGAGCAGGAACAGGGTACTTGGGAGGATATAGAGACGTTGCTTGTGTGTGT